TACAAGCATGACAGCTAAAGCTAAGCTTTATATTCTTTCTCTCTAAATGTACCTCCCCCTAAGGCTTCCCTCAAAATCTCTCTCTTTCCCATTACCTCTGGGCAACAGGTCTTCCATTTTATATCCTGATGGAGTTAACAAACCACATCTGCCAGAATGAGTCACCAGAATTTATTCACCAGCTTTATGCAAGATTCTAACTTTTGCCTCAAGGTAGATCAACAGAAGAGATCTACACTCTTATGTGAGGTTGTAGATCCAGCCAGTGTGCTGAGTGGCTCCTATTATTAAATAATTCAAGGTGGGTTGCATCAGCATGACTACTAGACCATGCCAGTTAGAAGTGCTTTAATGCCCTCTTTCCCCTTCTCTAAACCTGATAAATGTGGGGACCAGGAAATGATCTTTGTTCTTATGGGGATGTGGGTGATAAATGGGCACCAGCCTTAACTAGCCTTTTTACCAAGCAGGCTATAGGTCCACTATGATTAACCATCTCAGGTAGTACTTTATCTTTATGTGACTGAATGTTCCTAGAAAATAACAAATGAATTTGGGAGTTCTGTTGTTCATTAAAATTACAGATAGAAAAAACATTTTAAATTGCACAGAGTATTTGTATCTAGTTATATACAATACAGGCACACTAATGAATTGCTACATATATATAGTGAAATATGCGTGGGTACAGTTAAATCTCCAGAAACCATTAGAGTTAAAAGTCACTGATAATCTTCATGCATGGCAAGACTGGGCTTTGTTAAGATTGAACCCTAACTAAATATTTTGAAACTGATTATTTCTAACTGAGTGGAAGTGGAAAATAGGGTTTCCTCCAAGATTTCACGGAGGAGGGGGTTTAGAGAGGGCACACCAATGTGCATCCTTATGACTGGGAGATATTCAGAAATGTATTGCAAAGAGAAACAATTTATGCTGTATATTTTATCACTATGAACTAAGGCAACCTGGAGAGAGGGATAGGACTTCAGAGATGGGACAGCATGAGGAAAGAAAATTAAAGTGTAGTGGAGCTGACATGCTTTAGATCTTTTGGGAAAGTCCTTAGAAACTCAAAATTATTTCTGTCATTTTTTTTTGTTTGCGGTAGGAGAAGGGAAATCTAAACTCTAAAACTGTGTCCGTCTGTCTGTCTGTCAGCGCATGGTATTTTTCATGTATTTTCCCCGGTAGTAAAGTGGTTCTAAAGCTTTAATACCTAGCGTACTACATCTGAAACTCAAAAGTGTTTGGTGTGCTACTTTCGTAATTTTAATTAGGATAGTTAAAATGAATATTTACTCTGCCAAATCAACCATTCACCATCTGATGGAGGTCAGCATAAAGACATGTTGCCAACTTGTGTGATTTTATCGCAAGTCTTGTGATGTGTGATGTTAACTGGGGAGTTGGGGACAAGTTGGAAGCTCCAGATCATTTGGTGGCACTTTGTACAAATGGTGCAATTTGACCTCAGTTGGGTCTTCCAGTGAGAACTCCTTCAGTGGGTGACAAAATCACCTTACTCTATAAATTTGGGATTGGACAACTCTGTAATTAACTCAGACACACACTGGAGGTGGGCTGTAGCAGTTCAAAAATCAAAAGATAGGCAAAAAATGAGTAAATATATACACATTAAAAAAAAATCTCATGATTTTTGGGCTAATCTTGATGGGGGAGGGTTGACAGATGATTTTTAAACTTTAGATTAGCAATATTGCTAACCACACTTTTCCAATATTCAATAACTCCATTACCTCTTTTTAATTCTTAAATTAATAAATTGATTGGGATTTCCCCCCCTTTGTTTCCACTTCCAGAATTCTGGTCCTGCTATCTCTACCTAGAATTGGACTGAGAGAGGAAGAACTCAGGGTCCCAGGAGGAGGCTAATTTGGAACAGTCCAATTCCATATGTGCCTGATCCTGCAACATGTTGAAAGCCTCCTGGAGGTTCCAATTACTGTATGCACAGCTAATAGAGTGATGGGCAGCATTATAAAATGATAAGATAGATTAAAAAAAACCAACTGAAGTCTGTAGTTTTCCACAGTGCTCAGCACCTGGCAGGATTGGCCCAAAGTATTAAATATTTCTTCTTCTCTGCCAGGATCTAACTTGGGGATGCTGAGAGGAGTTTCCTGGCCCGGCTTGCAGTTTAGGGGGCTTTGTAGGGAAGTATGTGATCTGGGCCTAGCAAGTCAGTCAGCATACAGACAGCCTACAGTAGGTTGGAGTGAGTTAGGCCTCTATGCCCTCAGGGAGCAGTCTGTTTTGTCTTTCCCTGTTTTGGGGCTCTTATGTGTTATTCTGAATTCTAAGAAATAAAGCAGTGTTATGTTGCAATCTTCCAGCAAGAGTATTCATTTTATTTTATTTTATTTCTCTTTGTGTATGCCATGAACCATAATATGGGAAAAGGTGGAGACATAGCACTAAATGTAATGACATAGAAGCTGACCAAATTTGGCATGTTTCCTTTTAGCAGTGATGACAAATTACTTTCTACCTTAACAGGAAATGTCAGAGAGAGATTGAGTAAACGGGGTTATAGGGTCTTTTGTAAATGCATTTTACCGGAACCTCTTTCTATAAAAAGTTAGCCATGGTGTCATAATGTACAAATCGGTTTTGCTTCCTATATTGCACACCTTCAGTTCCTAATTGCAAAAACACCCCACCCCTCATCCCTACTTGAAAAAAAAACCCCATGGTGGGGCTTTTTCATCTTCTTGTATTTATTCTGTCTAAGGAAAGAGAAGGTGATACCATGATTGTGTTGGGAGATTTTGAACCTCAATAGTCAGTTCTAGGGGGGTCTCTTGTGGAATTTTTTCAAATTCCTGTGTGGAGATTCAATCTGAAACCAGTCAGATAGAAATTTGACTGCATTCCATTCTGTGTCCTCTTTCTGTTTCTTTTTTCCCCTCTGACATTTTACAGTCTTTTCTTTAAAGTTTTGAAAGTTTGATGAACACAATTGTCCCTTCTTATACCTCCTGCTAGAGGTCCACTCTGTAGATGCTCTGGTGATATCTGTCCCAGCACTAGTAAGACAAAAGCAAAGTTCATAACACTGCCAGAAAGAAGCTCTTCCTCCTTCCCAGCTCAGGGAGACAGAGGCAGTATTGCCAACCCCAATGTTCAAAAATCATGAATCAGATTCACCAAAAATCATGAGATTGGCTTTAAATGAGATTATGTAATGAGATTTACATGATTATGTAAAGATAATAGATTTGGTATTCCTATTTGACTTCTGCTTTTTGAGCCTTTAGGGTGCACTGGGGTCACCTTTTGAAGTTTTCTACACAGCCACAAGGGCTAGAAACTTATGGTACTTTTTCTTTAAGAATGAAGGCTGAAATAATCACATATCCACTTGACTCCAGGAGCTGGGGCTAATTTAAGGAAAACAATAATTATCGTGAGACTCATGACAAAATCATGAGAGTTGGCAATACTGCGAGGGGAGGAGAAAAGGGGCTGATTGTTAGTGACAGATCTCAGAAAGGGGGATGATGGTGGCACAGAATGAGGAGCTGCTGACAAGAGGCCAGAAGATTGCTAAAACCCTTATGTTTTAGGGCAGGAGCTATACTATAATTTACTCTGTCTACTTTGTCTCCCTTTCTCTCTGTGGCATTTCCCCTTAAGGAGTGATGTATGGTTGTGATCAGGATAAAAAGGAGGGATGCAAAAGCTGCTGCCTTCCAGTCTAACTTAACACACCCACACATAAAAGCAGGAAGTAGATCAGGCCTTTGGAATTCCCCCAGCGGTGGGGGTAGGGGAAATACACACACAGACGCACATATTTCTGCCGGGTTTCCCCTAGAAAGAGGAAAGTACCTAATGTTCCTCTTAACTTTGGTGGGAACAGGAGCAGGCCTTTATTCAGTGTGATTATGTGAATGAGCAAGAGGTGAAGGGGGAAAAAACCCCTGAAGGAAAGTCTCACACATTTGGGGCCTGATCCTGGACCATTTGAGTCAATGGGAGTTTTGGCACTGACTTTAATGGGAGTGGGATGGGACCCTTAGGGAGGCATATGCTTTTAGTTGGGATTTACCTACAGACAAGGTGTTTTGTTGGTTTTTTTCAACTGTGCATTTGTGAGGAAGGATTTTCCTGTGCATTTCCAAGGAGATGTTTAAAATTGCCCTAAAGGAGATTACAGGTTGCATCTTACATCCATTGATATGGACAGGAGTTATGATCAAAGGGCCTGATTCTCCTCTTTAATCCCCCCCTTCCCTTCCTGGCTTAATGAGAAAGCAACACTTCATTCAGAAGCCTTGGGGGCCCTGAAGAGCTGTTATGTGGCCGGCCCCCTGAACATTCCCCTAAAAGCTGGCTCTACCTGATTCCTGACCATTTTGAACCCAAGTCCCCAAATTGTACATCAAACCAGGGAGCAAGTCTAGCTGTTCCTACTGCACTGACCAACCCAACCCCAATTTATATGCATGAGCACCGCATAAACCTGGATCTGGTAAGCAGGTATCTAGTGGATCCTGCTATTTTTTGGCCCCACTCCCCATGGTGTACTGCCAAAACAGAGACTGCAGGGGGCTATTCCTACTTGACCCCTGTGGGATATGGGGCTGAAGATGGCAAAGGTCCAGGTTTGGTCAGTGCTTGAATACAGGCTTCAGGGGGGAGCTGGACCGTTTTGGGGGCAGTTGTAATGAGTTTGCTCGTTCTCTCCTCATGCCATAGACCGGGACGGGGGGGGCAGGATTCAGGCTGTGAGGGTGCCTCGAGAGCGCTGGGGCGCGCGCTCTCTGGGCGCAGCCGGGCTGAGGACGGGACAGGCTCTGGGACCCGCGCGACAGCCACACACTGGCAGCACCCCGCGGCCGCCCCGTCACCGCCCAGGTCGCGCGCATGCGCAGTCCGTCCGTCCGTCCGGGGACTTTCCCCCGCGCGGGGCCCCGGACGTTGTTTGACAGGAGTGGGGCGGGGGCGGAAGGGGGAGTTTCCGCGAGGCGGGGGGGGGACCCTGGCCAGCCGGCCGTGGTATATAGAGCGTGTGGGACCGGCGCGGCAGCGGAGAACTACGCGCGTCCCAGCCCGGGTGAGTATCGCAGCCGGGGGGGCGGCTCGAGCCTCAGCCGAGAGGCGGGGCGTGCCCTGGGGGAGGGGGGCCTCAGTGCTCCCGTGCGCCGCGGCTCCAGATGGCGGGTTGTGAGGCGGATACGTGCCGTGGTGAGCGCTGTGTGCGGGCGCTGACTGCGTCACTGCAACTAGCGTGATAACGGGTAACGGCGTTAGCCAGCGGGCAGCGGGGCGGGCCGGGTGAGCGGGGACGCGGGCCTGGGCCTGGGGGTGGGTTTCTGAAGCGGGAGCTGCTGGCAAAGGGTGGGATTGGGCTGAGCTGGCCGGTGCCAGGCACGTTGCACTCTGTTAAGTGTGTGTGTGTGTGTGAGGGAGAGACACACCATCTTGCCAACCCTACGCGTGAGTTGAGGACCTCAAAATATGATGGGTTTTAAAATAATTATTTGGGTTTGTTTGATGTGAATTTTGGATTGGCTTTTTGAGCCTGCAGGCTGCGCTGGGGTCATCACGTTTCCAAGCCCTCTGCAACCCTGAGAGTTATTTAAAAAACAGCAGCTGAGGTTCTTATGGAACTGCTTCTCTTCAGTAGTAAACAGGATGAGACTTGGGATCAACTTGTGATAACTGGCAACATTACTTTAGTCAGGGGTGTGGATATGGCTAGACTTTCATAGTGTGGATGGTGCTGCCTGAAACTTGAGTTTAATGAGGGTGGGTGGATGAATAAGGATGGGGTGACATGTGCCCACACTGTGTGGGGGAGCTGGTGGTGAATTACTTCCTATAATTATTCCTTTCTTGCTTTAACTGAAAAGAAGGCCTAAAATTTCAAAAACTGCAAGAAGGATTAAGTATTAGTTTAAGCATATAGTTAATTTTAAACTTTATTAAATGCAAAAGGCTGTGTTGTTGGGTATGTGCACATTTGAGATGTGGTTAACTTTACACACTGCAAGGAGTCCCATTGAAGTCAATGAGGCCATTCACTGTGGAAAGTTAAGCATGTGTGGTCATTGTAGGATATGATGAGCTCATGTTTGTATAGTTAAAACAGCAAAAAATCATAAATACAAAAGTGGAGGTCTTTTCAATGTAAGTAAAGCTATAATGGACTCATTAAAGTACTAAGGTTAGTCAAGTCCAGAGATGACTGTGAGGAACTTCAGGGGGACTTAACCAAACTCGGTGATTGGACAAGATGTTGCTTGATACATGCAACATAATGCTTACTGGAGGGTAAAACTCCCCTTATGCACCTTCCACTAAATTTGTGATCTCAACTCATTTATATGCCATAATATAAATTGATGGTATGTCCTCATCTGGAATACTGTGTGTACCATTGGTTGCCCCATCTCAATACTACAGAAGTAGAGGGGATTCAGAGGAGGGCAATGAGAATCATCAAGGGTCTGGAAAAATACATGAAGAGAGATTTACAAGACTGGGATTGTTTATTTTAGGAGTGCCTACAAGGAGTCACTCAGGAAAGTTAAGGCAAATCAACTGCAGGCGTGATGTCAGTGCGCTTAAATTAAAGTGAGTGAAACCCCCATGTGATGCCCTTCAATGAGGATTTGGTGACAGGGAACTAAGACCACTTCACTCCTGAATAAAAGCATCCACATGATGTATTAACCCACTTATGCACATTGTCTTCATACTTTCAGTTATTTGACCCTAACTTTCCTGATTGGCCCTGTGTGGGCATGCCCTTAGAAAGGAGATGAATAAGAAGTGAAGTTGAAGTTAGACTGGGGCATCTGTTCTCTATTTCATAGCACAAGAATAAGGGGAAAATTTTTTAAAAAAAAAAGTGGCAAATTGATTAAAGGAAATACTTTTTTACTTGAGTTAAAAACACTCTGTGTGTGACTAGACTGTGGAACTCACTGCAACAGCATACCATTGAGACCAAAAATTTAGCACAATTCAAAGAGGGATTGGATGATTATATGGATTACAAGAATATCCAGAGTTACAATAGTAGTTAATGCTAAATGAAAAGATTTGGAAGAGAGAGAAAACCTCATGCTCTGGGCATAAACCAGCCTCCAATTATTAGAGATTAGGATTCAACCCTTATGCGAGGCAGACTGTCCCACATCTGTCTACTGTGGGGTTTCATGTACTTCCTCTGAAGCATCTGGTGTTGGCAGCTATCAGAGACTGGATGCTGGACCATAGTTCTGATCTAGTGTGGCAATTCCTGTGTTCCTAGCTATTGTCAGGAGCTGGGGGGATGGGGCAGAAGGGAGAAGAGAAGGCTGGTCTCCTGCTCCCCCAACTCACTGTGCCTAATCATTTAAATACCATGGTATCAATGAGCCATCACCAAACTGAAACAAGTGGGGAGTATGCTGCTGCTGTTTGCTTGGAGACAGTTTTGGGGGGGGGGGGGTGTCACCCTGGTAGCAGCATATTTGTGTTGACTCTATTTCCAATAGGAAGAAGTGTTGTGTGTATTTTAATGAAAGTGTGCAACACTTCAGAAAGCTTGAAACACAGCAAAAAAAAAACCAGACCCTAAAATTACAGATTCTGATTTCTATCTCCTGTTCTCACCTGGAATTTTTGGTTGTATTTTGTGGGCTTGGGATTTTTTCTTTTGTTTTTTGGCATTTTTAAAAAGCATTCTACAAGTCATTGGACAACTCTTGAGTTTAGACAAGCCCTTGTTTAACTTAAATTGGTTTAGGTGAATTGGTGCAACTTTTGTGTATGCTGTTTTATACTGGTTTAAACCTGGCTTGTATCTGTTTAGGTTGCACCTTTAAACTTAACTAAAGCTATGTAAAATAACACTGTTAATCATATCAGTACAACTTTGTATGTAGACCAGGCCACTCATCTATAGTCTCTATCTGCCAAATATTTGACAACTTGTGAAATTAAATCATTCACTTTTCCAAATTTTTCAGTACAGGGTTGGAATAGGTTTTGATGTCAGTGTTTATGGAAGTGACCTTCATTAACTATCCTGAAACCTGCTGGCCAACAATTAAAAAAACTAGCTTTGCGATTCTAGTGTTCAACAGGTTTATAATTTGAGAAATACTGTAGATGACAGCTACAACAAATATGCCTAATTTATCTTGTTTTATAAGAAAAATGTCTTTTCTCCTTTACAGGTTTTGGCAGCACAAAGGAATTGGATGTTTCAGACTACAGATATCTACAATTTCTTCTTGTGAACTACAAATCTCAGTATGGAGGCCTAAGCCCCTTAAAAGGGACTTCAGTCTGAAATCTGGGAGGTAGTTTTGTGCACAAATAAAGAAACTAAAGTTAACAAAATATATTTCTGTATTGACCAGTGTAAGTTCTGTTTGCTTTCTGAACATGGCCTACAGAGATCTTTTAATTAATCCATATAAAATACTAGAATATTCAAACATAAAGCCATATATTTGTATTAAATGTTATAAGAGTGCACTTGTACCCAAGCAACCTGGCTAAGTTTATGATGCCCAGTGTTGAGAGAGTGATGGAAGAAAACACACTGGGTCTGTTCCAAGCCAGTGGGTATCTGACAAGTTGGTGGTGTCACTGCTATGGTCAAGAATCATTCTTGCTGGAGCTATAGCTCTGCTGTATGTAAGGTAGTTGAGTATAACCTTTAATTTTGTTTGTAGTGTCTTGCATATCTTTGGGTGAGGATTGCTAAAACAAAGGGTATTTTGTTTTGGCAATCTGACATACGAATACACCTTTAGAAGTTTTGGGGCTGTTCTGTTTGTGCCTCTGTAAATGTGTCAGGTTAGAATTTCAACATAAGTATGCAACACTCTTATCAAAACAAAATCTTTACAGATGTATAAAAGCTGCATTCGTATTGGCTATCTAGGATGAAATAAACACTTAATTTTAAATTGGAGCATGATATTAAGGTGCAGTGTCTTCAGTTTTACCCGTTTTAGTTTCTTTATTGGGGTGGATTTTGATCACCCTTAGAGATACAGAAAAATATGTTCTACCCCACCCCCATCTGCACCAAAGTGCCATTGACTGTGAGATGAGAAGTACAGTATACTAAGGAAAATGTGATGTATTGTGACAGGAAAGTCCAGTTGACCTACATTTTGTACCTCCTAGAGTGTTGAGGTTGTGTAACTTCTCCATTAAAAGCAGTTGTGCAGATTAAAATAAAAGCAGGACTTCCCACATATATCAAGCCTGTTTATTAATCATAATTCATTCCTTTCACATGCATTCAGTGATACAAACCAAAATGTTTCACTTTCAGGTCCTTACTCTTTTATATGGCCTGGGAGTTACTCAAAATCACCTCCATGCACAAAACTACCTCCCAGAGAAAGACTTGTCCCATTCTTCCCTAATATTTCATTATGAACCTAGTGGAAAGCAGCTCGTTCCTGGCTAATCTGATGAATAACAGCACTGTGTGTGAACTGAAGTATGAGTTGTCGTGTGAACTCTACAGAATGTCCACGTTTTCTACTTTCCCTCTTAACGTGCCAGTGTCTGAAAGGAGTCTTGCTCGAGCTGGGTTTTATTACACTGGTGTGAAAGATAAAGTTAAATGCTTCAGTTGTGGCTTGATGTTGGATAACTGGAAACAAGGCGACAGTGCTCTGGAAAAACATAAACAGCTCTATCCTAGCTGCAGCTTTATTCAGAATTTGCTTTCAGTTAGTAATCTTGGATCATCCTCTCATTCAGCCTTCTCACCTCCAGCCACAATAAACAATCTTTCACCATCTTTGCATTCCATAACTATTGCTCCAAGCTTAGAACAAATTGGCTTTTTCAGTGCTACTTTCTCCAGTTTTCCTCAAGAACCAGTAACTTCTAGGGCAGTTGAGGACCCATCACACCTGCGACCTAACTTTAATAATCCTGCAATGAGCACAGAAGATGCTAGACTATGTACTTTTCAGACATGGCCCCTGACATTTCTATCACCAACAGATCTGGCCAAAGCTGGATTTTACTATACTGGGCCAGGAGACAAAGTTGCTTGCTTTACCTGTGGGGGGCAACTAAGTAACTGGGAACCGAAGGATAATGCCATGTCAGAGCATCGGAGATACTTTCCTAACTGCCCTTTTGTGCAAAATAAAACTAGAGACCAACCAATATTCAGCATTTCTAACCAGAGCATGCAAACCCACGTGGCTCGTGTTAAAACATTCATAAACTGGCCAACAAGAATTCCAGTTCGACCTGAACAGCTTGCAAATGCTGGGTTTTATTACGTAGGTAAGAAAAGTTAACATATCTAATGTCTTAGTTTAGCAAATTCTAAAACATAAATATAAGCAATGGCTTGTGTGAACACTTATTGAATACTTTGTAAACTTGCTTTTAAAGGTCGTAATGATGATGTCAAATGTTTTTGCTGTGATGGTGGATTAAGGTGTTGGGAGTCTGGAGATGATCCATGGATTGAGCATGCTAAATGGTTTCCAAGGTAACTTTAAAAAGCTCTGTAAGTGGAAGAATTAGGCCAATGCAGAGCCCTTTCAGACCTTCCCCTATAATTTTTATCTTGAAATTTGTCAGTGGGAGCAGACTTAGGCCAATGTGAGTGCTTTTGAAATTGTCACTCTACAAGAGGGTTTTTTTGTGTTCCAGATGGAAAGACTTGAGTGAGAACATCTCTCTTGCTGAATAATAAAATGGGAGAAATAATGACACTAATAACTATGGGGGAGATTTTCAAAGACAGATGTCAGTAAGACACAACTGCTATTTGTACCTTTGAAAATATCCCCATGTTAATGATTTTTAAATAGCTTTCATGAATTTGAGAACAGTACAGGAAAAATAGTGTTTTGTATGCTAAACTTTGACACAGTTTACCATCAGCTATTAAACTTAAGTTCAGCATCCAACTTTTGCTTAGCTCCTTGTTCATCTCCCCTATTAACTTTATCAGTGTATTTTTTATCTTGTGTAAAGTTTAAATTGCTTTACTAGTGCAAAGTGTTTTAAAACCTTTAATTTTTTTTTCTATTTCATTGTGGTCGGTTTTTTGTTTTTAAATTTAGACTAGTTTGTAGACACTGAGTGATTTGGGGGGAGGGGTGGAGTATTGGCTGAGATTAAAAGCTGTTGAGGTTGTACACTAAAAGGTATCTATTACTGAATGCTTTGGTATTGATGAGATCATATTTATATCTGATACATACAGAAATTAGGCCATATTAAGATGATTCAGCAAAGCGTCCCTCTTCAGTAAGGATACTTAAATATGTGCTAAAATTCCATTGAAGTCACTGGGACTTAATCATGTGCTTAACTTTTAAGTATGTGTGTAAGTGCTTCCCTGAATTGGGGCCTAACTGAGCACAGTATTGTAGGCTTCTTATTCTGTATGGCTCTTAACTAGTATATATGAGAAATAAATATTGTAATTTGACAAACATTTATATTCTGTTAATGTTTAGATGTGAGTATCTACTGCGAATAAAAGGACGAGAGTTTGTCAATCAAATTCAGGCAAGATTCCCACATCTCCTTGAACAGGTAAACTAGAATTTTTATGTAACTTTCTGGTTGCTAATATCAGCATTAGATGGTGGTACATAACTTTTTTTTTCCCCTACCCACTTTCCAGATATTGCTCTAAAGCTAGGTCCACACTACCCGCCTGATTCGGTGGGTAGAGATAGATCTTCTGGGATCTCTGGATGCGATAAATCGATCCCAGAAGCGCTCCCCTGTCGACTGCGGAACTCCTGCTCGCCGAGAGGAGGAAGCGCTGTCGACGGGGGAGCTTGCCTGCGCTGCATGGACCCGCAGTAAGTAAACTTAATTCGATCTAGGAAATGTCGACTTCAGCTACGCTATTCTCGTAGCTGAAGTTGGGTTTCCTAGATCGATCCCCCGCCCCAGTGTGGACCAAGCCTAAGTAGTTTGGCAGGTATGAGTTTTAAGTTTGATTGATAGTTCATGAATGAACAGCTTTACATGAAAATGAGATGAACCAATTCTAATTGATGGTCTTCAAAACTGACTCTCTGCACATCTTCCATGAGCAGTTTTTGTATTTTTGAGAATTGATATTGAAAATAGATCTGGTAGCATTGGGACTTGAGTCATTTGAAGAGCATCACAGCCATTTACAGTCAAACCTTGGGACACTTGGTGTGAGGCAATGAGAGCTCTAGACTGAGTATAAAGAAGTGAAGTTCTGATTACACAAGGCTTAGTGACTAATTCAGATTAGTACCTGCTAGTACAGAAACTGGTTCTGGGTGCCTCTCTTGTGGGACTTTTTTTTTTTTTAACTAAGCTGTTTGTAACAAGTTATTTTTGCATAAACAAAAGGCATAGTGAGTAACTTCATTTAGAAGAGAAAAGCTTGTGTTGGTATAAACTGCCTGGATTTACCCCAATGCACATTCACAGTACAAATTGTTGTAAGACTTGTATAATTCTATCTACAAATACTTCACTTAGGCTATTTGAGTTAAAATTCTTAATTGCAAATCTTTGGGTGGGGTGTGGCTGGACAGTGACGAGCACAACGGGGTCCTGGCCCCTGGTTAGGGGCTCTTAAATGCTACAGTAACTTCACTATTTGTACCTAGTTCTTCCTTTTGTAAATCACTTAATTTTTGTGGAAAAGCATATACTGGAATTATCAGCGTTGTATGCAAAGAGAAAAGGATGCTGACTGTTTTTTTTTTAAATGCTGTTCCTTTACATTCCATAGCTCTTGTCAACTTCAGATACCCCTGTGGACGAAAGTGCCAATCCACCAAGTATGTACATTTTAGTTAATGTTTTTCAAGCTACATAGTGATAAGACTTTCAGCACGCTTACAAACTTAATATGCATCCGAAGAAGTGGGCTGTAGCCCACGAAAGCTTATGCTCTAATAAATTTGTTAGTCTCTAAGGTGCCACATGTACTCCTGTTCTTTTTGCGGATACAGACTAACACGGCTGCTACTCTGAAACCTACAAACTTAATGTAAATATAAATAGAACTTTTGTATGGATGCTTTCCAAAATTAGCTTGCTAAGCAATTCATAGCATTTTAGAAAGTAGCAGCATTGGAATGCTTCCCAGCAAGTCAAAGCTTTTTTTTTTTTTTTTTTTGTCAGTTGTATAGTGTACTTAAAATGTTAGTGAGGTGTGTTTGAAATTTTATACTACAATATTCAAGTTTGTTGCAAGAGAAATTTCCCATCCATTCATAATTTCCACAATACTAGGGATTTGTATACATACTGTATAGATTCTGAAGAGTTTGCCTCTGTTTGCATGTTCTCTAACTGGATTCAATGGACTCATTGTTGGTTACACCAGCTTCTGCTAGAGTAACCCAGGGTATAGACTATCCTGGTATCACAGCTCCTTAGAGGCTGTTGTGATTACACAAGATACCTACAACCCTACCCTGCTGGGGGCCTGCAGCTATGTCAGCGACTTCAAAAGTGGGCAGCAGTAGCCAGGAAGAGGGAGGGAATGGCCAAGCCAGCCTGGGGACATACTGAAGAAGTGCAGCCTTCTAGACAGCTTCCTCTGGGGCTGTAAAGCTGCTCTTCTTCAGTGGAATACCCAAGTATGATGACACTGCTGTCTGACTTCTCTGGGGGTGAATTCCCCATACTGGCAGTGGCCCCTGCTGAGGCAGTGAGATGAGTCAGATTTCCAACTATTACGCTTAGTTAGCTACGTGCCAGGAAAAGGATGACCAATAGTAGAACTGTAACCATTCTATTAATGCAGATGCGACTCAAGAACTTGGTATACCATATGAAAGGGAGGTATTTCCATAACTAACTTTTTACCATTTTTTTTTTTTTTTTTTAGTTCTAATCTAATGATGCTATTCAACAATGGCGTGACCTCTGGGTTTTCCCTGCTTTTGCTGCTTTAAATTGGATCTTTGTTACTGTAACAAAGCTTTTTTTGTTTAAGTCCAGTCTAATAAAATTCTAAACAGGAGTTCTAAGTAAAAATATCTTGATTTTAAAAAGTTAGGCCCATGTCATTAAATGATTTTTTTACGCTAAATCTATCTAAAGTTTTCAAATCATCTAACGTATCTTTTCTTTTTTTTTTTCCCCCCTCCCCTTCATTAATAGCTATTCATTCTGAATCTGGAGAAGGCCATTCAGAAGATGCAATCATGATGAACACCCCAGTGGTTAAAGCAGCCTTGGAGATGGGATTTAGTAGAAGACTAATAAAGCAGACAGTTCAGAGTAAAATCTTAGCGACTGAGGAAAATTACAAGACCGTTAATGATCTTGTGTCCGATCTGCTTACTGCACAAGATGAAAAAAGGGAAGAGGAGAAGGAGAGACAATCTGAAGAAGTGGCATCGGGTATGCATAGGGCAGTAGTAATACACTTGTCTTCTTTGTTCCATTGTAATCTGTTTACTTTTTGATCTAATTCTGGGGACACTTGTATTCATGAGCTTTGGTAATGTTTTTTGTTGTTTTTTAAAGGTAAATATAAAGGATTAACACTGTATCATCTGGATATCAGTGTGGAATTTAGGCCTCAATCCTGGAATTATCCTTACAGTGATGCACCCCATATTTCACTGGGGCTCGATATGGTCCATGAGTCCACCTGCACAATACTCTGCAGGATCAAGACCATATTTTTGTCCATATGCCTATATGTGGTGTTAGGTCCTTCATATAAACCAAAACTGTGACTCCTCTATATAGTAAAACTTCCACCACATAGAAACAATTATAAATATGATTTCGGTCTCCTGACGTTACTACTGGTCAACTCTGTGACTTCTCAGCAATAATAAAAACATGGAGATTAATGTACAAGACCAGATATATATATATATTTTTTAATTGATATTCTTTGAAGTTAGATGTAGTTAAGTCAGCAGGGTCTGACAAAATTCACCCTAAGGTGCTTCAGCTAATTCCTTATGCAATCTTAGAACTATTAGTTATCTTCAAGAGCTCATGGTGGACAGGTGAGGTCCCAGAGGAGCAAAGAAGAAAGCTACTATGTTTGCCCACCTTTAGAAAGGCCCACTGGTCTCTAATTCCCCAGGTCCTCAATGTTTCCCTAACTTCAATACCTGGAAAGATACTGGAACAAATTAAACAATCATTTTGTAACCTCCTAGAGGATAGTAGGGTAATAAGTAATAGTCAACATGGTTTTTCCAAGAACAAATCTTGCCAAACCAACCTAATTTCCTTCTTTGGTAGGGTTACTAGCCCAGTGACTTGGGGATGGGAGGAATAGATATGGTGGTAGATGTTGGTTGTTTTTTGGTTTTTCAAGTAAGGCTTATGACACAATGCCATATAACAGTCTCATCAGTAAACTAGGGAGATGTGATCTAGGTTAGTGGCTTTCAACCTTTTTTCATTTGGGGCCCTTAAACTTCAAATGGAGATGCAGACCCCTTTGGAAATCCTAGGTGTAGTCTCTGGATACCCAGGGGCCTGCAGACCACAGATTGAAAACCACTGGTCTAGGTGAAATGACTATAAGGCAGGTGGACTGACTGAAAGACCATACTCAGAGTAGTTATCAGTGATTTGCTATCAAACTGAGAGGATGTATCTAGTGGGGTTCCACAGGGGTCAGTCCTGGGTCCAGTGCTAGTCAGTATTTTCATCAATGACTTGGATAATGGAGTGGAGCGTATACTTATCAAATTTGCAGGTGACACCAAGCTGGGAAGGATTGCAAACACTTTTGGCGGATATTGGAATTCAAAATGACCTTAACAGACTAGAGAACAGATCTAAAACCTACAAAATGAAATATAATAAAGACAAGTGCACTTGGGAAGAAAAAAGTGAAATGCACAATTTATGAAATGAGAAATAAGTAGCTAAGTGGAAAAACTGCAGAAAAGGATCTGGGGGTTAGAGGGTCACAAGTTGAATGAGTCAACCATGTGATGCACTTGTGAAAAAGACTAATAGAATTTTAGGGGTGTGTTGTGGGTTTTTTTTAAACTTGGTTAATGAGGACAGTTTGTGGGATTTTTTTGTTTTAAACCATAACCTGGTCATGTTTAGCCTTGAGAAGAGAAGACTATGGGAGGGGGAGAGAGGAAATGGGTACAGATAAAATAGCGTATACACATCTACCTCGATATAACACTGTCCTCGGGAGCCAAAAATTCTTACCGCCTTATAGGTGAAACTGCGTTATATCGAACTTGCTTTGATCCACCGGAGTGCGCAGCCCCGCCCCCCCGGAGCACCGCTTTACCGCATTGTATCTGAATTCGTGTTAGATCAGGTCGCGTTATACTATATTTCAAGTCTGTTTTATAAAGAGGCAGAGACCAGTTATTCTCCATGTCCACTGAAGGTAGGGAACTAATGGGCTTAATCTGCGGTAAGGGAGATCTAGGTTAGATGTTAGGAAAAACTTTCTAACAATAAGATTAGTTAAGTAGTGGAACATCTTACCAAAGGAGACTGGAATCCCTATCCCTGGAGTCTTTTAAAGAACAGGTTGGACAAATACCTGTCAGGGATGGTCTAGGTATATTTGGTCTTGCCTCAGTGCAGGGGGATGGACTAGATGACCTCTCAAGACCCCTTCCAGCCCTATACTTCTGATTCTTTAATATTTGCTTTTCTGTTTCAAAACCTCACAAGCATGCAGTCTGGCTTTGAAACTCTTGAAAAACAGTAGAAGCCATGACTTAATGAACATAATTTCTGTAGCACAGCATATTAAAGTGCTGTGTATGTCCTCCTGGCTCACTATATGCCAACAGCTGAGATGTCACAACTTGGTGCATTTTTAGTCATTAAACCACAGTAGAAATTGGACAGCCACAATCTGGAGAATATAAAACACAATTGTACAATAAGGTCTGGTGTGGTGTGTGGGTGTTTTTTGGGGTTTTTTTGCGCTGAGTGTTCTGTACTGTTTAGGTCTTCCCCATGCATAACTCTGTCCCTATGTTTTTTTTCAAAAAAATATTTAGTCCACACAGATTTAACAGTATTTTTGACTGGCGGTGATTTTTGACTTTTGTTTTTGATAAGCCAGTGGTGGTGACACATGTAGGCCTTTGGGTCTGTGCATTCCACTTGTGCAATGAATATACCTTTCACTGTTGAGTCGGGAAATAATGTATACGGTGGCCTTTCTACTTTGGAGGAGAAGGGGGACTTTGTAAAACTTCACAATACTCAAACTACTTGTCTGCCTCTCATGTGATATGTGAAGTCTGTAGTAATTATTTAATAGTGTGTATTACTGATATGGAGTGGGAAGTGGAATGAAAAGAATCAAGGTATCTCTTATAATTTATAGCACTCATCAGTTAATAGTAACAATGCAACTTCAAATCTTGTAACTTACTGAATTTTCCCCTTGAATTTAAGATGACCTGTCCTTAATCCGGAAGAATCGAATGGCTTTGTTTCAGCATTTGACATGTGTGCTTCCTATCCTGGAGAGTTTACTATCGGCCAAAGTGATAACTGAACTTGAACATGATGTTATTAAACAAAAAACCCAAACGCCATTGCAAGCAAGGGAACTGATTGATACAATTTTAGTGAAAGGAAATGCAGCAGCCCACATATTCCGAAACTGCCTGCGAGAGTGTGATCCTATGTTGTACAAAGATTTATTTGGTGAGTTTGACTGACAGATGTACTTTTTTTCTTTTCCCCCAGAAGATTGATGAACTGATTTCCTAAGTCTAACCATCTTTATTTTCTTAGTAATACATAGAGCCCTGCGCGGATACAAAATTTATATCTGCAGATGGATATAAAGCGGATATCTGCAGAGCTGCAGGACTCTACCAGGAACCACAACGGTGAAAGCTGCAGTATGTCGGGCTGCTGCTCGCAGGAGCCAGCCCCCAGCCTTACCAACTGGGGTGGGCACCAGGCTCACCAGCAGCTGTCCCTGGTTGTGCAAGTGGCTCTCGCGCTCCTGGACAAGAATCCCTTTCATGCAGCGATCTGCCTCTCCTGGGTCCTGCAAGCAATGGCCTGACATGCTGCTGCTTTCGTCGCTGTGGTTCCTAGGAGAGCCCTGCAGCTCTGCAGATATAAATTTTGTATCCATGCAGGGCTCTAGTAATAGTCTGAGGTATAGTAGTAAAGCAGTAATTAAAAATTCTACTGGAACGTAGATCATTCCAATGACTAAAATGTTCCCTTTTTGTCATTTTAGTGGAAAAAAACATGAAGTATGTCCCCACAGAAGACACTTCAGGTAAATCTTCAGTTTTATTCATTTGAGTGGTTTGGGCAATAACTCAGGTTCTCAAAACAAATTTTTCTCTTTGACACTGTCACATTCTGGGGTGTAATCCAGACTAGTCAGGGGTTGTCACCACCTGCCCTGTGACCTTGAGTGCCTCATAATGCTTTGCTGTTGTAGCTCCCAACTTGTGCTGCTCTCAAACAGCCTACGAGCATGCAAGTTACTGAGTGTCTGTGTATAGCTACAGCCCTGGTTTGGTGGCTCTGATTCCAGCAGCCTGTTAGCAACACTCCTGTCACACTTTGGCTTCCACCAGCCTTGGTTACTACTTGCAGAGTGACCTCAACACAATCCCAGTCCCACATTTCCCCAAAACTGTGTTCTGCACTATGCAGCCCTTCCCTGGGCAGTTCGGATATTAAAGGTCCGTTGCCCCTGCAAAGGGTCAATATTCAACAGTTTGCTACTTTAACTAGTTACCAAATGCACTGGACCCTCACTAGAATGCGGGATTTGGGATCCATGCATGGTACCACGTTAACACGGGGATCGCGTTAAAATGAATTGTAATTAAAGTAATTAAATTTGGGATCCATGGCTGCTACCGCGTTATATATGAATTTGTGCTATGTAGGCGCACGTTTTAGCGAGGGTCCGTTGTAGTTCATTTTAAACAATACTGTTTTATTCTTTAATTCAAACGAAACCAAGCTTATTTAACTAGAGATCTTAAGTGAGTACAACTATAAGGCATTAAAGTCAGAAATAGTTACAAGAGAAATAAAAATACTCACTTTCTAGTAGCTAAAACTTAACAAGCTAGACTGGGTTCAAAGTAAAATCCTTACCACATGATCCCAGCAACATGGCTGACCAAATTCTCAGGTCAGGGTCTCCCCCACTAAAGTCGAGGGGCTTGTTCCTTTGTCTTAGGGGAGAGAGAGTGAGCTTGGGGTGTTTTTGCCCCTCACTTTTATAGTCCAGTCACCCTTTGAAATGCATTTTCCTGAAGGTTACCCCTAGATAAAGTTCATTCCAGCTCTGAGAATGGAGACCTGAAGTCGCATGGTGAAAGAGGTTCTATGTTGTTCCTTGCTGAAATGCAGATCAATTTGTTTCTGCATCCCTTCATTGTCAAGTGGCTATTCTTTGGCAGGTGATTGCCAGTCAACTTTGACCTCTGGCACAAGGCATCAGCTTGTCCTTTGTCTATCAGAAACTGGTTCACCCCCCTCCCCAGACTTGTGTGGTAAACACATTTAGTCATAATTTCTATAACTCTTAAGATGCACTTCTGGCATACATTACACAAGAATATCCATGATCAGTGTGGTGGTCATTTTTAAATGATACCTCACAAGGCATATTTTGTACTGGGTGGCAGTCATACTGAATTTTATTGCTTTCCCATCTCTAATCAGTTCTGCCATTTGAAGATTTCTTTGTGGTGTTAAGTTTGTTTGTTCTCTTCTCAGGGTTACCCATGGAAGAACAACTGAGAAGATTACAGGAGGAAAGAACCTGTAAAGTTTGCATGGACAAAGAAGTTTCTATTGTATTTATTCCATGTGGTCACTTAGTGGTGTGCAAAGAGTGTGCACCTTCCCTAAGAAAATGCCCTATTTGCAGGGGGACAATAAAGGGTACCGTTCGCACATTTCTTTCATGAGAGGAAACCTGCAAACTCCTGTTCCTGTGTATCTTAGCAATGCTCAAGACTAACCCAGTGATGTGTTAAGACTGGAAAACTATAGTAAAGAAGATGATGGATAAATTACTTGCCTAATGTGGCTTATGGGGTAATAGTGGACTGTTGTGTGAGCATGCTAGGCCTTATGCTGCCAAAGATCTTTTTTGAAACCTGTGTAAGTAACTATTAAAAAATGGTGGGAAAAATAGGTTGGTTGGTTTGTTTGTTTGTTTGTTTTTGCTGCTGAAGTAACTTTTTTCAGAAAGTCTTAGTAAATAAGGAAGAGATCGCATAAACATGTCTTTATCCTAATTTGAAAAGAAATCCTTTACTAGTGAAGCATTGTGTTCTAATACATTTAATTTTAAAGCTGAGTCTTAAATAACTAAAGCATTTTCATGAGACTTGCTTAGAATTGACACTTGATTGATACTTGTAAAACTACAGGATCTTCTACTTCAGCTGTTCTGGTTGTATCAAGACTTTAAAAAAAAAAAAAAAAAACTACGAAAAGACCTTATAAGAAGTCTTATAAGTCTTATTGTTAATGTGTGTGTATAATTGATATTTAATTGTATGAAAACAGCATTAAAATGTTTTCAATAAACTATTTTAGAAGTGAAAACTTTTAATACAAAATGTTCCCAAAGTTAGCTTAAATTTTTGTATAGGTTGCAGTGACAATGGAAAAGTTTTTGTTAGCTGTATTGGTCTGTACCATGAAGAAGAAAATGCACCTAACAGAGGAGCAGCCCCTAGTACTTGCTGCTGTGTTGTCCTTGGGGAGGAATCCAAGTCCTGGTGTAGGACTTGCACTCATGACCTTAGAAACCAGGTAGCTGGACAGTAGTGGTGGTAACCTTTTTAAGATGACAAGATCAGTTACAGGTAAGTAAAGGTTCTTCAAGATGTGTGGTCCTTATCTGTATTCCACGGAGGATTATATGCATGTGCCATGCACCTGGTGCCAGAGCTTTTGAAAGTAGTACTTTTCAGTAGTCTGTGCATCTGGCCTTGTGGTCTTGCCCCAGGTGATAAAGGGCACGTCGGGCTGCCAGCATTTCCAGTTCCTTCTCTACCACAGAGCTGTTGACTCTGCAGCAGAGGGGAAGGAGGGTGAGTTTGGAATAGATAGGGACAACACATATTGAAGAACCTTCAGTTATAGTAAGCAACCTCGTTTTCTTCTTCGAGTGATGGTCCCTATTGTATTCCAGGGAGGGTGATTAACATGCAGTACCTATGTGGGAGTATGGTGCAAGGAGACTGGAATGGAGGTCTGCTGCTCCAAACAAAGCATCTGTCATGGAATTGTGCACTAGAGCATAGTGCATGGAAAAGGTGTGTACCAAACTCCACATGGCTGCCTTGCATGTGTCTGCGAGAGGCACGTTGTGGAGTGTGGCTGTAGTTGATGATTGTGCTCTTGTGGAATGGGCCCAAATCCCTTCAGGCAGGGATCATTCCGATAATTGATTACATGCTCTTATGTACTGAGATCCACTTGAAGATTCTCTGGGTGGAAATGGTTTGTTCTTTCATTCTCTCTGCTATGGCAACAAACCCTGGGAGATTTCCGAAAGGGCTTTGTTCGGTCAAGATAGAAAGCCAATGCCCTTCAAACATCTGAGTGAAGCCTTCTTCCTCATTTGAGGTGTAAGGTTTGGGGAAGAAGGTAGGTAAATATTTGGGTTGATTTGAGGTGGAATTGGAAAACCACCTTGGAGAGGAACTTGGGGTGGAATTGTTAAGGGACCTTTTCTCTATGGAAAGGGGGGAGGGGGAGCTAGCCATCATGGCTCCTATTTTGCCAACCCTCCTAACCAATGTAATGGCGACAAGGAAGGCAACTTTGATGGAAAGGAGAGAGAGTGATCATGAGACCATACGTCCTCAGCGAGGTGAAGACTAAGTTAAGGTCCCATGGTAGGAGGGGGGGTCAGTCAGTTGAATAGGAGGTTTATTTTTGCAGGTGGCAAAACTGCAGAGTTAACAGGTGGATAAAGATTGAACGACTATCCACCGATGGGTGAAAGGTGCTAATGGCAGCTGTATGCACCTCAATGGAACTGAGGGTCAGTCCTAAGTCCTTCCGATTAAAGGAAACATTCAAGGAGTACCAGGATGTGCATAGCTTCAGGGACAAGGCCCTGGCTGGTAGCCCAGGAAGTGAAATGTTTCCACTTGGCTTGATATGAGCATCTCGTAAACTCCTTCCTGCTGCTTGAGGCCATCTCCTACTGCCAGAGAGCATTCTTGTGCTAGTGTAGGTGTCCATCCAACAACCAAACTGTCAGGTGAAGAGTGTGGGGTTGGGGTATCTGAGTCTGCCATTGTGTTGGGCCAGTACCTCTGGGAATGTTTGAAGCGTGATGGGGGGGGGTGGAGGGTACTTCCACATGCAGAGGAGGAGCAGAAGCCAAAACTGGTGAGGCCAGAATGTGGCTATGAGGATGGTTGTTGCCTTCTGTCTGATCGTGTGGATCACTTGTGGTAAGTGCGGGATGGTGAAGGCATAATTTGTCTAGTCTGACCAATTGAGGATTACGGCATCCCCCTATGATTGAGTTCCAACTCATCCCCTCAAACAATATTAGGGTACATTTGGTATTGGTGTGGGATGCAAAAAGCTCAGTCACTGAGGGTACCCATTGGCCAAAGATGTCTGCAATTAGTCATGCAACTCCCATTCATGGTCAGTTGCAAAGTTTCTACTGCGGGCATAGGCAATCATGTTCTGGGTGTCCGGTAAGTAGGCTGCTGCCAAAAGAATATGGTATGTGATGTACCATTCCCAAAGATATTCAGCTTCCACATACTGGGCTTGGGATTTTTGTTTTGTCTGACATGACAAACGTGTTGCTTTTGGATGGTTGGCAGGAAGGCCTGGCAAGTGTTTTGTACTGCTTGGACTTATCTTGCTGTCTTAATTGAAGAAGAAATAAATGGGCTGCACAAGTGTTAGAGCTTATTCGTTCACTCTCCCACTTCCCTAGTCCTTCTCGCATGAACAGAGAGCAAACAATTCAATGTTTATTGGGGTGAACTTCCAGCAAGCTTACATCCAAGTTCCTTTTTCCTTATTTTCAAATCCCAACTTACTTCCTGTTTTCCCCTAATTTATATATTAATATTCTTAGCTATATCTTAACCAATCATAACATATTGTAACATGATTAGCTAACCAATTATATCCCACCACCTTAATTAGTTTACACCCAGCAAAATTAATTATACAGCAGACCAAAACAATCACAGAACCAGACAGAGACCATGCAAATAAACTTAGCAAAGTGGGAACTATAATGACAAAACAATACAGAAGTGAGGATTTCACAACTACATCTATACAGACAAAGGTTTCCCAGCTGTTGTCTATTGATAAGTGAGTTCTTACCAGACAGAAAACTATCAAATTAAATTTCCTTTTACATTTTCTAGGCTCTTCCCTCTCTCTGGGCGTGATAGATTGGATCACCTTCCGAATAGCCCCCGATTGCCTTATTTCAATAGGGCTAGTTTGGAATGGGAGGATGTGACTGCAGGCTTCCCAGCTTATGTCTGCCTCTTAGCCAAAGGCATTGGCCTAAGAACAGGGTTTCAGACTGCCACAGTGAGAGAAGGCCCTTACACAGATTCTTTCTTTTATACCTCTATAAGTAGCTAAATGAAAACATATACCTACGTTCTTAAAGTATAGGCCTTTACACACAGGCTTGAATATCTATATCCTAACAGATATAACCCCTTTCAGATATGGGGTTGTTCAGGGGCCAGCTGATAGGCTGGGCAAGTTGACTAGCATGGGTCTGTGACTTAACGTAATATAGATTTATAAACCCAAAGCAGGGCCCATATTTTATACAGCATCACACATACATTCCTTAACAAACCAGTTCTATGCACATAGACAACATCAGTACATTGTAGGCATCTAAAATGCCAGTTGACCGTACATCCTATGTAGATGGGACCTTGAAGTGAGTTGTGGAATCAACTGCACTGGTACAGATTAGATTAAACCATGGGGTCTCAAAGTCCCAGCCCGCGGGCCATCTGCAGCCCAAGAACCTCCCCAGTGCGGCCCGCGGAGGAGAGATGTGTGCAGCCACACTGCCAGCTCTGTCTGCTGCAGGCCCCGACTCCTGCAGCTCCCATTGGCCGGGGGAGAGGGAAAGAGATAACATCACTAGTCACCAGGCAGAGTCAGCCATGGAGACAGCATCCCTTTTTTTCACAATGAATATAAACAAGTCAAAATACCAAACACAACTCTCTGATGCACACCTTGCTGCAAACTTGAAGGTTTCAACTGCTCGGTCACTGAGGCCAAACTGACAGAACTGAAGCATTGCCAGGTGTCTGGTAAACACTAAAAACTCTCTGGCAGGCAAAGAATTGTATAAAGTTGTATGACAGTTTTATTATTTCTAAGACATTTGAAATAAAAAATACAATAGAAATGTTTTCTTTTCTGAACACCATCTTCAGTGACATTATTGGCTCGCTGGGAGGATTTGAGGACTGGCACTGGCCGTAAAGTAAATTGAGCTTGAGACCACTTGATTAAACTCAGCCGTGGCTAAACCAAGTTATAGTATTGTTCGGTTGCCTAATACAGAAACACCACTTTAACTGAAGCTGTTTACCTGGCCTAAAAGGAGATTTATAACCTGACTTTAGCCTTCTCATTCAGGAGTGGCACCAGGGTTTTTGCCGCCCTAGGCGGCAGCGCTCCTCCTCAGTAATCAGCGGCAGCTCCTCCTCTGAAGCTGCGTTCTCGGCAGCGGGGGTCCTTCCGCTCCAGGTCTTTAGGGCACTTCGGCAGCGGGTCCCGGAGCGAGTGAAGGACCCGCTGCCGAATTTCCGCCGAAGACCCAGAGCGGAAGAAACCCCTCTGGGCGGTCCTGGTTCTCGGCGGCGTTTCTGCGGCCGCTTTTCTTCCCGCCCAGAGGAATCGCCGCCGAAATTCCGCTGAGGGCGGTGAAATGCCGACCCCCACGTCCTGCCGCCCTAAGCGAGCGCCTAGGGTCGCCTAGTGGAAGCGCCGGCCCTGTTCTTATCCCTAGTTAATTAGACGTATAAACCAATTTGGCTACAACCGAGATTAAGCCATGGATAAATACATGGTTGCCTAACCAGGTTCAAAGCTGGATGGGAGGGACAAAAAGTACAAATGCATCCGGGCTATCATCTCTATTTCTTTGTCCTACCTT